TTTTAAGAAGGTGAATGAAATGTCCAAGACAAGCCAAAAAGAAATTTCCTTCCTCCTAGTGCTTCACCAAGGAAAACTGATTTTGCAACTGGGCCAAGAGATTTTTGTGAGGATTAGATAAAGCTCTCTTAATATGAAGGTTTTTATGACAATACCTGAATATAGTCATAATTTGATAGGTCGTGAAGTCCAAAACTGCTGCGGTAATACTGGCATAGAGACTTGGCCCCAGCCAAAGCAAGAACAGGAGAGAAGGAAAGGGGTGGACACCGGACTGCTGTCACTATTTAGCTTTTTCTGGTATATGTGAAGTGCATCTACGGAACATTTTGACTCCGCAATATCTCTCTGCTTAGTGATCATCACCGTACATCGTGTTTATACACTGGATAATTAGAGATTAATAACTGGAGTGGTTACTGTATTTGCTACATCCATCAGAACTGCATTTAGCTAGCAGCACAGATTTTCAGGTTTCTGAAGGTTCTAATTACAGAGTTTTTTATATAATTCGAGATCAAGTGGAAACCGTTATAATACCAAAACTAGTCTCAATTTTTTTTTTTAGGTAGAGCTTTTTAAAGCAGTATTAGTCAACATTATCTACTGGTGCCAAGAAAAAGCAACATTGACCTAGACTGAAATTACATTTAGTTTCCGAAACATTTGTGGGGAAAACCAAGAAGTTTCTGATCCTCATGAAAATGAGGGAAAGAACCCTTCCCGTCCTACCACTAACATCTGACAGAGAGTCTAAGATACTTAAAATATTGTGACAAAGCTTTCAGTACAGGTTAATACATTTGCCTTCGTAGGAGTTTGGACTGCAACAAGTGTTTGCATTCTTACACCGAAGAGTTAAAATGTTGTCTTCACTGAAGAGAGAGCTCTTTACATTACAGATGTAGCCACAATGTTTTTGAGAAACAAGCGAACAGCACAGTGGTCCCTTCACTCCTTGGACACGGTGTTCTTCTCCTAAGACTCAAGGACACCTTAAGAGCATTACTTCAAAGTAAACTGGAAAGAAACAGATGATACTTCCAGTTTTGCCTGTGTAACACTCGTCGCAGATGATATAAAAAGCAATACAATCAGAACTAAAACGTTGTTCCCATCTACACAAAGCTTACTCAACCCTAAAGCCCCTGAATCACCTCGCCAGCTCCTGTGAATTTCCAGGGGAAGGCAATGTACTCTCAGGTTCTCATGAAAGAAATATTTAGACTCAAATGTCGGCCTGCCACAAGACAAAGCACAGACTACGCCTTGTCTGCTCGCAACCGGTCTAAACACACGTGCGGTTGCCTCCCATGTTTAGGAATATCCTTGAGCACGAGAAAACCCTACAAAAAAGGTGGTATAGGAGTTGCGTGAGAAGCTGAATGTGTTCCCTGACTAGAGGCACTGTCCTACCTGTACACCTGCATCTGAGAAAAGTCAGTTTTTTTCCAATTGCCATGAAAATTCAGAGTTCGACTTCAGGTCTGGCAATAGGGTTGGTAAAGCAAGCATCAAATTACGAGTTCTGCAACAAGAAGAAAGCAAAGGCATACCTGTATTGCTTATGCAGCAGCTTCTCCTGTGTAACAGGGGAAAATGAGAAATTCTAAAGGAAACTGTCTTAAGCCTTAAAAAAAAAACAAAAATCAGGGAATGACTGGAAAATAAAGTATCTTTAGACAGAAACAAAAATGAGTCCAGAAACAAGTCCCTACAATATCTAACTGGAAACGTTCAACTCTAGAGCTGTACTCAAGCATTACGGCCACAATAATGCCTACAACACTGTGGAATGAGGATCCAGCTGGCTGAAAGTGAGGTAATAGTTTGTAATAGGTCAGACTTCTAAAAAAGCACTTTTACATTTTACAAGTCCAAATAATAATTAAAAAAAAAGGACACATTTCATACATGTTGGGCTTTCTCACCAGAACTGTACGATAATTAACTCCACACCAGGACCCCTACCACACTAAGCCTTACTCATCTTCAATTATATGCTGCAGCAAAGATTTACCAAGCGACACCTAAACTTCAGTACAATAGGAAACTTGATCCTTAAAACTTTATACACACAAAATATAAAATTACTTTTCTAGGATGGGGTAGGGGAGAGGGATTCTCCTTCATGGTACTTGGACTGAAAAACTAGTTTTCAGAGACTGCCACAAATATTATTCACAGTTTCTTGCTGTCAGGCTTTTTCAGCTACATCAACGTAGTACACAACAATACTGTTAAGTCCAATAACTACATCGGATGGACATTCTCGGGAATAAGAGAAAACTAGTGACGAAAAATACCCGAAAGGCCTCCTCCTAACGACGTCTCCATTTTTACAGGGTTGCGGTTCGTCTACGTTACACGTTAATGTGATCTCAAAAGAGCAGCAGGAGAAAGATTTTCAACCTTCTCTCCTGTCCAAGTGATCCAAGTAACATAAGCATCCACTTACCAGAAACAGCGTGAGAAACAAGGCTTTCCTTACAAAGACAGCAGTGAACCACACCTTCCCACACCAAAATATGGTCAGCCAGGGATTTTGGCCATGCAAACTGCTGGTCAGCAGAAAATTAAGCATGCTAATGGACAAACATTAATTCCAATCATATATTTAAAATGATCCCAAATACTACTAGTTAGCTACACTGAAAGCGCCTGTAAAAGATACGTAGTGAAAAAAGAAACAGAACTTTAGTGATCACTGCAGCACTTCGAGTGATACCAGTCTTACGTGATGAATCACCTCAGAGAAAATACATTAGATGGGACTTTGAAACAAAAAGTTAACATTAAAAGGTGCACCTGAATATTACAGACTAAATTTACAAAACCTACAATAAGGTAAAATATATATCTTTTGAATATTCAGCAGCTTTTTTTTAAATTTGTTTTTATTTTTTGAGAGGCTCATGAAATTTTAAAAAGGGACCACTAACTAATCTCAACCATGCTTCACAAAACAATAATGGCTATTTTATATTGCAGTTACCAACGTAATGCAATTAGTGCTTAAAAAATAATCTACACTTTTTTCTTTTTTTTCCTTTTTAAACAGAGACCTTTGGAGGAAATACGGTTGTTCAAAAGCTTCTTGAAAAAGAAAGTTTACCTGAATATTAAATTATCACAGATCAAGTGTTGTGTTTAAAAGCTTTGCAGACGTGAGTATTACAATCTTCAGGTCTCAGGACATTTAAACTGAGAAAGTTACACGTTTGGTTTGTTGTTTGTTTTTTGTTGTTTTTTCCTTTAAATCCACTTTCTAATCAAAGCAAATAAAGAGCACTCAACTTCTCACTATCTATTTACAATTCTTAGCCTACAGTCTGAAATGACAAGACAAACTCTCTTTTAAAACTGCAGCATTAAAGGGTAGGCACACCATTCTTCTGCTGCACGATTGTCACCCACTTCAACTTACACATACAAAATATTTAGGTTAGTAAAATGAGCACTCCACGTACACTACAGTGACAAGTTTTATGAAACTCAACTCCTGTTGCTTAAATAAAGACAACTGCAAAAGGTTAAACCTCTCTGAACAGTAAAACCGTTCTCTTTAAAACTTGCAGCAAACTTTCTACCATAACCTCCAACAGCAGATGAAACCACACGTTGAACTGCGTCTTTATTGCAATCCCCAGCTACACTGGAACATATTGCAGAGTTTGTAGACTGCTGCTGAGCTTAAACTGCTTTAAATGCCAAGATGACAACTAGAGAGCTAAGAGGAACCAGGATTTTGAGCACGAAAAATATATTAAGTAAACAAAAAGAAAGTATACCTGGGGCCAAATGCCCAGTCCGTTTCAAGAATGAGCAGTGCATATTTAAAACGACAGCAATGGTGTGCCTAACCTTTGAAAATAGGAAGTTGCTGGGGAGGGGGAGAAGCGAATGGGATCAACTGCTCCAGAAGCCACTCAGCGTCCCTAGGGCTTACCCAGGCCACCCTCCCATGAACTCTGAGAAACCACTTGCGATCACTGATCACTGACATCACTTCGATGCTTCACACAAAAACTCCAATGCTTCTTTTGGTTGTGCAAATGGGGAAAAAGAAAGGAAAAAAGAAGGTAATTCTATCTAACCTTTGCACAGATTAAGACCAAATTGTTTCTACCTGAAGAACCAGCAATTCTGATTTGGTCACACTGTGGTAAGTCCAGTAAACTCCACCTCGTTACTGACCGCTCCCGCAGAAAGTATCAAAGATAAAAGTTCTGTACAAAACTTATCCTGGATCTCCATATGATAACGATATCATCATAGTGAAAAAAAAAGTAATGGATTTGTGGTTTACGGAGTGCTTTTATGGTGTTTAAATGCTTATGCTAGCATGTGCTAAACCACTATCAAAACGGATTAAATAAAAACAACAACAAAAAAGCAGGACTTGGATTAATTCCTGCTACTGGCAACTGTAATATTTAAAAAGGAAACACCCATTCATTGAGTGTTCGACCCTGACAGTATTACAGATAGATATGATGCAGAGCCTGAACTAGATCAGGCTACCAGTGTTTTACTTCTTCCCTGAACATTAACAAGCTCCTTCACTAATGTGGATATTTGGGCAGACTACTGAGGTTGTAACGTTTGAAATCACTGTTTCGTGGGCTTTTTTTTTTTTTTAAACTTTTTTTGCAATATCACAGTAGTTTGTTACACAAATCCCCCTCCCCCAGATTAGAGTCATTTAAACTAGCTGTTGGAACCACATAGTTTAGTAAACTCAGAATCAAGTCTCTAAAAAGCATGAAGGTCACGAAGAACCGTAGTTCTGTTATCATGAGGCATACCCTAATACATCATTTAGTGTACCCTGACTGCTCCTGACTGCGAGAAGCTTGTCTTCCGTGAGATAAGGCTACATCCTCAAGCAGGTGAGTCTAAATATCACCCTTCAAAAATATCAAACAAAATTACAGCGAAGGTAGTGTTACAAATAATTAACTGACATATTCTGAAGGTAGTGTATGTTAAGTTTTCCCTCCCCTCCCCTCCGGGTGAGCACTAAGCAGACAGTGAATGGGAAGTATGTTTAATTTAGAAAGAAAACAGTGGGGAGCCTAATTAGACCCAATTGATCATCCATCTAATAAACAAATCTCTGAGTTCAAGAGAGGTACCATTCCTAAATAACATGATTTAGCTCAGATCTTTCAATCAACTGGATCAAAGAAAAGGAGGGGAAAAAAGATTTCTGAAATGTTTTGAAGAATGACAGTCTGATTCCCACTCAAGAAAATGCCTGGTTTTAAGAGAGTATCAGTTTAACAAAGTGGACTTATTTCTATAAAGGCAGACACGAAAAATCCAACACCAGAAGTTCAGGCAGGCTCTACAGGCAAGATGTCCACTTCCACAGATCTGCATTCTTTGTGAGGTAACTCAACTCTCTATTACAGAGAAACATGCAAAAGGCAAAAGAAAAAACAAAAAAAGGGGGATAGTGGGCAGGTGAAGGAGGGAAACTGTGCCATACCAGGCTTGAATAATTTACATATGTGACATTCAGAGCACACCTTTCACCTGTGTCCACACGAGTCTATGCTAAACTGCAAAGGAAAGAGCATTGCAGCAAAGAGGAGAATCAGGTGTGCTCAGTGGTGGTTGAACTATGCAGTAGTGCTCACCCAGTTTGCAAAGTAATTGGCACTCTACAACATCCCTACTCATCTTTCAATTCATTTGCACTTTGTGCTGCTTCTCCCTGGGGATCTAATTCAATCTTTACTGAAACATCCTGCCCCTCCGACCTCATTAATTTCATCTTTTTCTTTGGAGGGTTTTTCAAAGTGCCCAGCCTCTCTTTAACTTTGTACTCCAGTGTACTGTGGGGGATCCCATAAATACTCTGAGCTTTGGAAACACTCATTTTCCCGCTCATCACCACAGAGATTGCTTCCTCCAGTATCTCGCTGTTGTACTGTCTGTATCTCCCTCTTTTCTTCCTAGGTTGCTTGGAGCCAGGATCTCCCTCTTGATCTGAGGTGGGATATGGCTGTCCAGAGGTAGACTGCTCAGCATCTGAGCCCCAGGAATCTGGTCCAGCATCCAGCAAACTTCTCCTGTTTTGTTTTGGAAGGATAGCCCTTAACTTTTTGCTAAGCGCGCTCTCCGTTTGTGAACCCATTACCAAAGAGCTATAGCTGTACTGGTCACCAGTGCGGGACTCCCATGAAAGGTCCATGCCTCGAACTTGTGGTATCTTTAAATCCACAGGAGACGAATGGCTCACGTCCTTTTTCCCATCCTGCTTAGTTTGAAGTGCCATTTTTTGAAAGGCAGAGTTTTCTGTAAGAAAAGGAAGGTCACTGATGTTGCTGAGTGCACCATTTCCCCTGAATTTCATGCGGCTGAAATTGAATTCGTAGTGTGGTTTTGCCCAAGAAGCCTCCCTGGATAATATTAAGTGCTGTCCATGATTCTGTAGTCCAGATGGCCCATGGCTGGCAGCCGTAGAAAACTGGTTTCTGCTCAGCAGTTCTTCACTAATCTGGAGTGATCGAGCCAGCGGTACTTTAAGAGATGTGGAGTGGCCATAACCTTCCCTGGTTCCATCCTGCAAGCTTCTTGGAGGTACCCCATCACCACTCTGTAGTCCCTCCGGATGGTGCTGGCTGGGTCTCCCAGGTCGCCTAATTGGATGGAAGGAAACTGATGTGAGCAGGACTTGCACAGGTAGGGAGGGATGGGTGAGGGGGCCACTCCTTTATTAGAAGGCCTTGCTTGGGTAACATCACTTTTTGCGTTAATTATTTTTCTCTAAATTTTTTTTATTTTATTTTTTTATTTAATTTTTTTTTTAAGTCTCAGCATCAGTCAGTTTTAAAACTTGTTCGCAAAAAAAGAGAAGCTTTTTGGGCAAAGAAAAATGAAACCTGTTGGCTGGTCTCTGGTTGGGTTCACAAATTCTCGGAGTAGAAAAGGCTTCGCGCAAGTGTCTGAAAATAGCACCTTAATTACAAAGTAGTAATCGATCGCCATAGATCTGCACACAACTGTGTTACTGGTGTGACGTTACCACTAAACAAGTACAGTAATAAAAGAGTAAGCCAAAGTGCAACATATTCAACATGCAAATATGACTGCCACCTGCAGTATCTACACATAGGTGGAAACCTTGGATGGTGGTCACGTACATCATATGGAAAAACTGCTGCTCAGGATTAAAAAAATGCTTAGCAGGCCTCAAAGGTATTTGCTTGACTTTCATTAAGCATCAAATATGAAAGCACTGCATTACGCTAGACTTACCAAATTGCTCTCTTAACAACTAATTGCATATATACGTGTCCCTGATGCTCATCTGACACACAGCACAGCTAGGAAAGCTCCAACTGTCATCCAGATCAAGGGTTAATAGCAGAAAAAACAGTACGTATTTTTACCATTTTCCTTTCGTCACAAGTGTTCTTTCTACAACACAAAGTACTGCTACTGCAGATAAACGTGTATTTTAATATTTCACTTCCTTAGCCCCCCGTAGTAACTGTAACTAAGTCACACTAGTTTCAAAATCCATGTTCAACATACAGACAACTAAGCAATTCTATTTTAATGCTCTGGGACGCTAAACTGATGTAAAGCCCTCTACCTATGTCAGCGTTATTTAAGGATAGGATTCATACCATTGAAAAGCTACGTTATTCTTTTGAACATCACATTGGGATTGGGAGAAAAAAAAAAATAAGAGAGAGATCCATCCATCCACTGAAAGGACCTGGCATGTACCATACACCGTGCTTGATACGTGTGCTGCTAGCTTCTCTCCAGGATGCAATGAGTCATGGTTGAAGTGGGTTACAAGAGTCAACAAGAACAAAACCCGCATAAATGAATGAAAGTTTGCTCTTCCAGAGAAGTCTCCCAAGCAATGTGCATTCTCTGCCCCTCTGCAGCATCTGTCAGCACCAGTGTGCATCAGTGACTGTACCTAAATAAAGGTCACGTTGGCAGCTACCTAGGACAGAGGCTCACACCTGAGATCATTGCTGCTAAACAGACTGCAGTCACCCTCATTTACCACACACCTGTACAGGTAACCACAGGTGCCAGAATGCACCCACAGAGCTGATCACCAGTGCCAGATGCTGGCCCCTGTGGCATCCCTGGACTTTGGCCCTCACCGGATACACAAACAAGGGAACAAACAATACAACACGGCCCCCAGCGGCTTCTGCTGCCTTCCCAGGAAAATAAGAGCTGGAAATAACCTGGTCAGAACTGGAAGAGAAGAGCTGCTGGGGAAGGATTATGCTAAAGAATTGTGAAAAAGGATTAAGACTAACTTTTAAATGAGGATTGAAATATTTTATTAATATTAAATGGAAAATGTAATCTCGAAGGGAGAAATCTGAGACAGTAATATTTTTCCAAAGAGAAACGCAAAAGCTAAATCAGCTGTTAGCAGTACACAGGATTGGCGGTGGGTTGTTAGTTTAAAATTTCAGGTTTTTCAAAGGCTATTGTAAAGCTAAATCCAGCAATTAAATAGCAGTTTAAACCATATTCTGTTTCTATACTTAACTTAAAAAACTACTTGTTCATAGTAGTTTCAAGATAAAATTTTCCCATCAACACCCAAAATCCCTCTTACTCCCAGTAAGTCGGCCTCTGCAGTACAAGTAACTCAATCCTAGCTAAGGGTAAAGGATTTCTAAATGTATGCAAACGGTGACTGCTAGAAATATGAAACCTAAAGGAAATTTTTTGGTATAACATTCTTTCACACCTTGAACTAATTGAGGCAAGAGTAGCACACCATGTGTTTTATAACTTTTTTAAAAGAAAGTTGTTGAATGCTACAGTACAATCACAAATCCAAAAAGCCATTATTTAATGTTTTCTGAACTACCAGACTCCTTTCCCTAGCTGCTTTTCTTTTTTTCAAGCTGTGGTCTATGGTAGGAAATATTAACAAAGGGCACACAGTGATCCAAATCTAATTCAGCTTGGTTCACTGCCCAGATCATTGCTGCCCCTAAAATAAACTTTCCTGTTAGCTAACTTTCCCCTAAGAGAAATGAAGTCTAAATCATATTGCAAAGCCTCCACAGACATCACTTATCACTAAACCCAAGAAGTAGGCAATGGAAAGATTTTTAGCTAAGTAGTGAAATGGCCAAAACTATAGATATTAAGAGTTCTTAACTGCAAGTTAAACCTGTTTCAGTTTGCAGCAACTCATATTTGGCAGGTGGGGTGAAGGTATTTGCCAAAGGCACAAGTTGAAAAACACACTACTCCAAAGGGTTAACACCAAAAGTAAATTAAAATTAACATTTCTAGTAAAGAACGGTTTTAAAAGGTCATAGTAAGTTGCTTTCCCTTACCCATTTCCCGGAGTACTGGAGCACCCTGGAGAATGACTCAGAGAGGTGCTGCCGGCACAGGGACTCTTCTTCGTGGATAAATCAAGCACACCGTCTGCGGGAACAAAAGAATGACTTAAACATGTGAAGAAGCAGGATAAGCCACGTTGCCCCTTGTTTGTCTTTCAGGCTAAAGTAATATTTAGCATACAGTGTTTTTTATTTTATCTTATTTTTAAACAAACTAAGGCTTAGATTTGCTTGCCATTTGGCTTACGAGTGACTTCAACACAGTCCTCAGAAGTCACAACAAAAATTGGCAAAATTAAAAATGCATTTGCTACAAGAGCCAGAGAATAAAAGGCGACATAAAAATGACAGTTCGGGATGCAACACAGCCTATCACATAACTAACCCTCAGCAGGCTCAAAATGAGACAATCTTCAAATTCCTGAGATATTCCCTGCCCCCCCACCCTTAAAGCAGGGCTTTAAGACAGTATTCGAATTATTTTTTTGTTATCCAAATACCTGTAGGAAAATTCATTGAGAATTTAATATTGGAAACTTACTTTCAAATGAAAACACACACAGATTTGGGGTTCCTCCTCACCTGGCAGCTAGCTTCATCCTTTTTTCCATGTCTCCAATGGGTCCCTACTGGCAAAGCTTTCCCCACTCTACGGTGCCATTTTACTCCCTATTTTCTTCCATACACCCAACTGTTTTTCCTGCTAGACTGCTTCTTCCATTCTCACCAATGGCACTTCCTCACACTCATCCATGCTCCTCTGCAAGCCCTTATAGAAACTGCATTTCTGAGCAGCAGGAAAAGGAGCGCTTTTTGCTAGAAAAGCCTCGCTCCCACTACACTGAAACAAGTTCTGGTCATTTTAATAAGGGCAACATTGTCACAGAATCAGCACAACTATCTCAAATTCCTGGAAATGCTGAAATGAGGAATTTATGAGGCAAAGACAAATGAGACCTATTGGCAAAGTAAACTGGAGACATTTCAGAGCTCCTCGCTCATTCTGTCCAATCAAGTAAATACCACCCAGCACAAGAACAATGTAAAGCGGCTTTCAGATTGCTTGAGGTTCTCATTTGACATATGGAGAAAAAACATGATAAACAGGGAACTAGAATTAACTTGCAGAAAGCTGTTCCACCCACTGCATTTGGGAACACACCATAACCCAAACCTGGGCAAGCAGAGAATTTAATCTTCCTTCTGAACAACACTTGTGCAGCCACAAGATAGGGACAAGACTGGACCAAACAGCACCTCTTGTTCAAGGGGCTACACTGAAGAGCACAGGATGCTGCCCAAGGCGCTCGCATCCACGCTTCCTCCGTCAGAAGGGTCGGTACGGCCTAGAAGTGTCCGAGGGCACACAGGACTGGCCTCATAGCCCATGGGGAAGTTTACAACAAGCCAGGTTCCCCCTCAATCCACTAAAACTCAGAAACGTAACAAGAAGCACCACTAGCAATCCTTCACGACAGCCTCTTAAACCTCTCATTAACAAGTCTGGCAAAACCTGTTCCCAATTACAGTAAATGTAAATTGGAAAAAAAGAATTACATCAGCAAACAGATTACTGTATAAGCTAATATGCACATGTTCTAATTCCTTAACAAGTGTTGCGAACATTAGAAATTATCTTACAGCTTTTTCATCACGTGGCAGCTAAAGAACAGTTCATGTACAGGCCTTCTTCTTCACCATACAACCCTCTAATTAAAAAAGAAAAAGGAAGCAAAACCGATTCTCTCCCTCTCTCTTTCAGTGAAAAGCTTCACGATGAGAACAGTTTAACATTTATAAACATATATGCAAATGACACTTGTGAAATGCATTTATAATAAAGTTAGCTAGGAAAGAATGCCTATCAGCTAAATGTACAGGTCCTCACTTGGAGAAAGACACCAGACAGTGCTCTAATGCAGATTTGTACCCGAAGCATGGTGACAGCTTTCGGTAAGTGCTGTAAGCGTAAGAAGTGTCCAGGCGCCCAAGCTGGACATTGCTGGACATATTAAACCAACCTTTTTACAAAAGGCTTCATAAACGTATGTTCAAAGAATAAAGGGAAAGGCTTTTTTTTTTTAAGGCACCTTTTCCACTTGAGGACAGACAGCCTACTTTGTATTTGGTAGAATGATCTCAGAGCACTTGCTAACCCATTTCTAAAGAAGGGTAAAGGGGCTAATTTTAATCCTATTGGAAGGATACACTTATGATAACCTCTATTCAACAGTTTTGGAAAAAACCCCAAGAACATTCACATACTATAATCACCCACAAAATTTGCTCGTTAAAAAACATTTTTGATGGAGAGCAAGGTTTTCAAATTAAAACAAGCTCTGCAACACTGTTACAAGTTATTCAATCTGTGCTCTGCAGAACAAGTCTATTTTTAAGGTAGAAAAGAGACATTTCCTCCAAATACATAAACCTGGAAGTTTTACACAGTTCACGGGTATAATTTTTACAGCCTTCACAAAGCAACTTCTCACAGACTTTTAAGAGATAGAGTTTTCACACTATGACCAGAAAGAAAATAAATCGGTCCTTCAGACTGTGAACTGATCTTCAGAAAGGAGGCAACGTTATGGTCGCTACGACCGTCTGAACTTGTCTCATCAGCGAACGTCCAGACTATTTTGGCAGACTGCTCCTTGCAGCTCCCAGCAGGAACAGCACACTTGTTCCCCAAATTTGGAGCATGCCCATCCCCCCCTTTGCCCTTCTTCAGAAGAATCGCTCATGTCTATGGACCCACCTTCTTTCAAAACCTCTCTTCTCTCCCAGCCACATCTTGCTAGTCGTTATTTTACTGTAAAAACATCCACCGCTTCTCCACTTTACATTTTACGTAAAAGTGCAAACTTCTAATTGACTGGTTTAGCAACAAGAACACCGTTAGTGGATTGCCATAGGATGCAAGACACTGATAAGAGTCCTACCTTGTTCACTAGGTTCTGACTGAGACTTTCTGACAGTAAGGTCCAGAGGTGAGTCTTGGTCAGCCATGAGAAGTTTGCTGAGCACAGGGTTCTGAGCAGTTGCAGCCGTGGGAGAGGAGGCGACCAGAGATGCTTTCAGCAGGCTTTGGTTCTTTGTGCTATTGGGCTGGCTGGAGTCCTGAGTAGAGCTATTTTTTGAGGTATATTCAGCAGCAAACTGTCGGATCATTCGCTGCATGATCTCACGGGCCACTAGGGGAATATTGGGGTCAGAGACCCTGGGACTGTCTGTAAATATTAGAGATTTTTTTTTTAAGGAAGCACTTTAAGTAAAACAGCTTTTACATTAAGTCATTGTTTATTAAAAAAAATCTATGGAAAAAAAAGAAAGCCAAAGATCAAATAGTTTATGCAGAAAATGTACTTTAGTCTTAGACTACCTGAACAAGAACGACTGCTAATTCTGGTATAACCTTCCCAAAGTAACAGTTACCTAGGAGAAGTATGCAATCTCATCTTTTGTTCTGGAATATATTCAACCTTTAAGAGGTCTGGAGAGCTAGACCAATGAAGAAAAGTACCGAGTAATGAAGCTTATTCCAAAAAAATTGAACAGGTTATTCAGTAGAAGAATCGAGTAACTTACCTGCAGCTATAAAGAGGAGAAAGGAGAACAAAGTTGCAGCAGACCCCTACACATTTACTGAGAAACAAAGCCCTATAGTTCTGATTCTTCAAAATAACTCCCATGAAGATCAAACGTTCAAGTGTCTTCCATCCCAGCCTATCTATTCCTTTTGACATTTCTATCATTATAATCAATGTAGCATCAGGTATTACCCAAAGCACTTTCACATGCACAAAAATCCAAGATGTGTCACATGAAAAACAATTCTATTTTTAGAAGAGCTGCGAAATCCATTAGTAGGAAATGTGAAGTGGAACAGATTAGACATCCCAATTTACTCATATTGAAATAGTGTATAAATACAAAGGTATTTGGGCAGCCCAAAAATATATTGGTAAAAATCACTATTTTAGACCAGTAGAAATTCATGATGTGAAAGCAAGTCTGTAACTCCTGCATCACAGAAGCTAAGGCCTGCCACTTCACCTCAGACACTGATTACGTTCTCTGGCCAATTCAGGGTTTTTTTTTGTTATTTTTAAAACCAAAAAGCAAAACACACCACAACCACACAGCAACTCCAGAAATGGCTTAGAAGACTTGATTTTCTATTTCTGAAAAAACATTCAGAGAAAATTGTCCAGTAGAAGACCAAATAAATCTTCAAAAGCAAATCTCAAAACAGAAAAATAGAAAAAAAGATTAAAAAGCCCAGGTTGAAATTGAACTATTAGAAGTGTTAGCAAAATCTTCTGTGGGACATTTCAGCATTAGATTTGCCTTTAGCCACCAGTTTTGACAAAAATGCGCCAATCCAACAAGCCAGCTTTAGTGTATCTGTAAAGGATGACTGACGTGAAGGTTTGAGCATGGAGTTGCTCACAAACCAGAGAGCAGCAGTAAGCAGCTACTGTCTTTCTTGATGAAAAACCATACTGAGCTTTAAATACTTGTTCAGCCCAAATTCCTTCCTGTTAAACACAGCTTTCCAACTCCAAGACTTTATGCGGTCACCACATATATTATTATAGGGGTGAAATAGCTGTAAACTTCCAAGATGTTTACACAGATATGTAATTATTTTCTGGTAAAATCGACAGGCTGTTTTATTGCTGCAGAGGATAAGACACTAGAGTTTTAAGAAGACACCAAGAGATGAGCCAAACTTAAATTTAGGTACACTTATATTCTCATTTTCTTCCCAAATGGTCCACAAGAACACAACCCTGGAGAAGCCTGGAGGCTTTTTCTTTGCTATAGTGACATTTCTTCCATTTTCTAACCTCTCTACTATAACCTGCTGAAGGCCACATGAAAGGCTCCAGGAAAGCCCAGAAGGGCACAAATTGATGGCACAATCACATGGATATCAACTACTCTGCAGGTACTTGTAGCATAGAAGAATGCGGCTGGCAGGAAT